TTTATTTAATACACATACATTTCATAGAATGGAGAATCAATATTGCTCCTTCTTTAGCCTTCTCCCAGCATCCTTTTGAGAAATTTCACTTCTATACATTTTTTCACATCTCCTTGAATTTGCCCTCTTGGAGATAGTTATAGTTGTAAAATAAGAATTATTAAGACTGTGCTGGGCTGGATGCAAAAGTAGAGAATGTGTGGAAAAGCCTCATTTCTTGCAGTGTGTGTGCTAGTCTTTATCCATACAATTGAAAAACCTTAGAAGTTGATTTCAAAAGACTTATCTCCTGAAGAAAAGCAATCGCTTTTCATTTGCTTGCTATTTTAAGCTGCACATTGAAGTTGCCCTATGTTGTTTCATAAATAAGCTTTTATTCTCAGCAACATGTTACTGAAAGTAGCATAGAACCTGTCGTGTAGGCACAGTTCCACTCTGACAGATGGGCTTGGTGTAGGCATGCCAGCCAACCCTTCCCCATTTCACCCCACAGAGTATGAAGGGAAGCATTTTTGTCCAGGCATTCAGTGCATGCAAGGCTTGAACTTCAGGAAATGCACTTGGACTGGTCCATCTCCCAGGATGACCAAAAGTTTAAAAATAGCCTGAGTTTTAGGGTCTGCTGGGTTTGTGCTGTTCTGTTTCTTTTTGTGGTTCTGCTGAAGTCATCTAATGGGCTCAGCCAAAAGAATTCTGCCATGGACACACGTTTCTCCCTGGTTAATTATCTAAGTACGGAACTGTGAGCACTGTATAATTTCAATTGTAAGAGAACCATTCTTTGTGACTACATCCATATCTCTTTGGGTATAGAACAGGAAGACAAGGATCTACTGATACAGGATGAAATCCTGGTGCAAAAATATGATGTAAAATAGAAAACTTTGAATAAATCAGGCATTTGAGACTGAAGATGAGGGTAGCAAAATGCAGAATATTTTTGCAGGTTTTTGGAAATACAAATCAGCTATTGCTTGGTTATTGGGCTTTGGGATTTTGGAGGGGGTTTTCATTTTTTAAACACATTCGCTTAATGCCTTGTGCTTGATTTTATAAAGTAGCCAAGCACTGCAGGCTTTTGGCAAATACATTTGCTTGAACAAATGCTTTTGTGTGTTACACTAGTCAGTCTTTGTCATTTTTGTCTTCCTTAGTATTTTTGCATAGCTTCAGTGTGTTAATCTTTCATTTCAAGTCTAACTTGGCCTTTGTATACCAGTGGATTTTGCTAACTTTCCTGAAAGCTGTGTTGATTCAATACATTCACACTTCTTGTGGAACCTTTTTTCAGTTGAAAAGTTTCTAAATTAAGGGAAATAACGTTTGCATGGCATTCATTTACAAGGTGGCACAGTATGTGAAAGAACAGGTGTGAAAAATGAAGTGAATAAATTTGCTTTTGAAACACAAATGGACATTTCATGGTCTTCTGTCGGGAGAATGTCTTTTCTTAACTGTTCTAAGTATTTAATTTTTCCTTTTAGCTGAGTGTTTCTGAAATTAAATTACATAATATTTGACTAACACTTCTTTGCATGCTTAGTTTTAAATTAAAATTCATAATTAAGCTTAGTATGAAATTATAAGATTTGATTTAATGCTTTCTTCCGGTACCCGAACTAATGTTCACTGCGTTAGAAGGCGCAGTCGTCATTGAGAAGCTTTGTTCTTTTAACAAAAGGTACCAAAAATAAATTCAGTTAGGGTCATAGTGGTTTAGTTTAATACTGTTATGATAATAAGTCCTATAATTACTTTCAGATAGTTCTTCCTCCCCAGAGGACGAGGTTTTTAGTTTTGATGTCTGCTTAAAGCATGAGAATGACAGTAAAATTAATGTCATAACCTTTACAGCCTATTTATCGCTTTCTCTGTAATATCCTAAAGGATTTTGTGTAACACCTAAGATAAATGTCTTAGTATGGACAAGCATCAAATTAGGTTAATTGGGTTCAACTGATATTCAGATTCGGTGTGTCTATCAGGACACCTGTTTCATATAAAAGACCTGTGGGTATCTTCCTGTGAAAATTACTTTTAAATTATTACATGTATATGCTCTGCTTGCTTTGGTTGTTAGAGACCAAGTTACAGTGTAGGATTTTTTTCCAGTTTATTTGCTATTTTTGCCTATTCTGGTTGAAAATTAATTTATCCTTTCATTCTGTGGTAGCATAAGGAATAGTATAGGCATGACAGAGCTTATTTTATGTCATTAAGATAGATTTTACTTTCTAAGTCTGTTCAGCTCCACTTCACTTGAAATTCTTGTAATAGATTTCTTTTCATCTTTGAGTAGTCAGCACCAGATTTCTAGAGAACTGTTTTGAGTTCTGGAGTACTGTGGCTTGAATGATTTTACTTAGTGTCCTATGGTAGGGTTACAAAGTAAATAAAACATTTTAAGATGATGTAGAATTTTGAAAGTTTTGTCATTGGGATAGGCTCTCAAGTGGAGAAGAATTTATGAGAATATAAGATAGAAATAATTGATGTCATCACCAGTATTTGGAAAAAGCCAGTATTGGACTCAAATGTAACCAGGGAAAACTGTAAGAACATTTGCCTCCTCGGTATTCAGTATAAACAATTGGATATCCTGAATTATTAGTTGGTGACCTAAAATTTGTTCTGAGTGTAAGACTGTAAAACAGGTGGGGCACTCTTACATAATTTAATGCTCCCATGCACAGGGAAGGACCATGAAAACCTAAAAAGTGTGACTTCAGAATAGTAATTTTGAGAATCTTCATTTGAACATAATTTCTTACATTGTTTTTACAAGAATATGTGTTTCTTTAACTACTTCAGTACATTTTGAAGTGCTGGAAATACTAAAGTGGATGAAAAACTTCTGACTTTGATTCTCTTAAAAGATGTTATTGATCAATGTAGTCTTAAAAAAGGATGTCTTACAGTGTGGGTGACACAGAAGTTGTAACCCCACACTAGTTTCTAGAAGTGTTTTGCCATTCCAAAATTACATTGAAGTGGTCTGTTCCATTCTTGTATGTTAAGGAAGTTGTCTATGTGTTCCCACGACATTAAGCTACATCTGGATGAGCTGATGTGTTTTTTGTGCTGGGTCTAACAGCCCAGAGGTTGGCTAGTTAAGTACCATGGACAGAGGCTCTTTGGGGGAGCCTGGGATCTGCTGATACTCATCAGCAAACCTCTGCCAGTAGGTGCTGGTTGATGTACCAGAGCTGCTTATTATGTGTATGGTTCACCAGAGTAGATACAGGTACCAAAGAGATTCACTGAGAGGTCTCCTCACAGCAACCACACTTAATGTTCTTCTATGCTTTGGTGTTGAACTTCCTGAAAATGGAATTGGCTTTGCCTCTTTTTACTTCACTGCTACAGAGCCATCTCCTTCCCAAAACGTCACCCAGGCTGTTCGAGAGTCAATTGCATGATGGTACAGAAATATATTCAAGACTTACTTTGTTTGGGAAGTGCATCAGAATTTGTCCTGACTATTTCTGTATTTAACCAAGAGCGATCTTTTGGTACTTCGTGCAGGTCTTGAGTGCATGTTTGGCATGTTCTTTATGTAAGATCCTCTTGGCTGTTAAATTAACTGGGAAAGTGAGCAATTACCACATCTACGCAGCTGGATTTGTTTGTGGGAATGTTGTATGGTATGGTATGAAGGCCTGGATCTGGGTAAACCCCCAAGAAGTTGTAGTTCCATCTGTGTCAGTCCATGGACGACATATCTGTTACCTTCCCAAAGCCTCCAGCTGCATCAGGAAACAAGAGCTTTATATCCTTTGTGACTTCAAACATGTTAGTGGTGGTCAGTTGAACCCCAAACTGTTATGCAGCCATTCCAAAAGCTAGGCCATTTTATGAAAAAGAAAATCTAAGTGGATAATAACACAGTTTTTATATTGTCATTATATTATACTATGTCTTTCTTACCTGGCTGCTGAGTCACACTTCACCAAAGCTTGAAGAACACACTTGACTGCCATGGAGAGAAATAGCCAATTCTTGAGTTACTGGGTGGCCATTTGATGTAATGCCATTTTGTCAAATGTAGTGCATCAGATCTTGTTCTAAGTACCAACGTCAAATTCAGGAGAAATGGCAGTGTAATATTTGATTCACAAGAACAAGTTAATATCTTCATTGTAGTACCCACAGAAGACTCTGCTGGTCAGTCAGTTCTGTGGGATCCATGCAGTCACATAAAATCACAGAATGGTTTGAGTTTGAAGGGACATGAAAGGCCATCTAGTTCCAACCCTCCTGCCATGGTCAGGGACACCTTCCACTAGACCAGGCTGCTCAAAGCTGTGTCCAGCTTGGCCTTAAACACTTCCAGGGATTGGGCATTCACAGCTTCTCTGGGAAACCAGTTCTAGTGCCTCAACACCCTTATAGTAAAAAATTTCTTCCTAATATCTAATCTAAACCTACCTTCTTTCACTTTAAAGCCATTATCCCTTGTCCTATCTGCATGTGCCCTTGTTAAAAGTCCCTCTCCAGCTTTCCTGCAGGCTACATTTAGGTACTGGAAGGTGTTCTAAGGTCTCTCTGGAGCCTTCTTTTCTTTGGATCCCCAGCTCTCTCAGCCTGTCTTCATAGGAGAGGTGTTCCAGCCCTGTAATCAGCATAGTGGTTCTCCTCTGGGAGCCTTTCCAACAACTCCAACAGGTGTTTAAAGGAAAATGACCATACATTTTCTGTGATTCTTAAGAATTCATTGTCCCAACGGAATTCATTACATTCCCTCTTTCCTGGCTTTAACAGGGGGTTTCAATTACAAGAAGCCTAAGTTAGTAGTGCACAGTGTTGAAATATGGAGAGCACATATAAAGGTCCAAAGAAACACTTGCTTTAAAACTCTGGTGGTGTTTTTGCATGAGGTATGGACATACTGGTATCCATTCTGAAATACAGGTCTGGAAACTGTTGCCATTGTCCTAATAATTTTTTGGTTAGTTTCTGAAAGATTATCAGAGCCTCTAAGTATCTGTATTTCTTTCCAGGAACATTGCCGTAACTATTAGAGGGCAAAATGCAGAATCCATTAACAATTTCTGCAGGTATAGTATGCTTTCTATACTTCTTTTAGAAATTAGATGCTTGTGATTCAAAATGTGGAAGAAATTTCATCCTTATTAATTGCTGTATGACTCTTGTCTACTATTCTACTGTAGTATGGTTTAAAAAAAAAAAAGCTCTTATACTGCAGCTTTGATCACTTTAAACAGTTGCAATAGCTAGAATTGTTTTCTTCTTGAGGGCATTGCTAATTACTGTTACCACCTGTAGGTGAAGCTTGAAAAGCATGAGTCTACTTCTTGTTTGATTCAGCAGAATTAAGTGTTCAGGTTTTATTACATTTTTTTTAATTCTCATATATTTGAAAATCATTGCTATATTTGATCCCCATATAATATGGAGTCAAATGTATCTCCAACTTAGGCTACAAGACTAGGAGAAACAAGAAAATAAACATTAACTTAGATTTTTTTTTTTTTTTTAATTTTGAATGCCTTTTCTCCAGCACTCCTATCCTTACTAACATTTTTTGTGTTTAACTCTTTATTCCATGTTTTGTCACTTCAGAAGTCAACTTTTGTTTTACATAGTTTTCAGTGGGGTTCGTGTCTTGATTTTTTCCTTCTATTATTAGAAAGGATCCTTATGCTGAAATGTGTATTCCCAAGCCTCTAAATGTGTAGCTGTAACTTCAGTTTCCTTTCCCTTTTGATACGTCACAATGCTGACATTTAAATATGATTTTTAACACAAGTGTCATTTTTAATGATGCTTCTTAAATGTGAGTGAACGTTTGATGGATATGACATCTGCTCTAATGGACCTTTCAGAACCATTGCTGGTTGTCAGTTAAGTTTCCACTGTTAGTACTTATGTTAATTAAGAAAAGCACTATATATTACTTAACTTGAAGCCTTGAGCTTTTACTGTCATGTAAGTTTATACTTTGCCTGTTTTGTGAAGACTGAGTATTTTTACAATGCTGTAATAATTCTGAGGAAGTGGTTCCTGAAGCATGTCATGCAAATTGATGTTAGTTGATGGGTTTCTTTCAAGGGAGATAGTACTTACTGTTGGGTAAAGCTGTCCACCCCTCAGTATACTCTACATCTGTATGCTTGTGACTGAAGTACTTACTTTGAACACTTAAAAGCCTGAATTTAATTTTTCCTTTAAGTAACAGGAATTTCACCCCGGTTACAATCTTATGTTAAAGCCATTTCTGGGTAAGAGGAGGAGAATATAGGCTGTGAAGCTGTTTGCAAGCTTGAAACTGAATAATCATTTGCTTTGAGATTTTTTTGAAGGCTTTTTTTTTTTTTTCCCCTAAACCATAATCCATTCCAGTCAGTATTATCCAGTGTTATCAACCTTCACCCAGAGTGAATGGTAGACTTCGGAAGTGAGCATTCATTTTAGGAGTCATAACTAGATCGTGACCAGGAACTGTATCAATGTGAAACGATGATGTTCTACAAATATATTACTTTCTCTAATTTTTTTACTCTTTTATTCTCAAACTTTTTTGTCTTTGCATCAAACACCACTTGTTTCTTAAATGTGGCACTTTGAAAATATGGAGGCTATTAGCAATTTATAATGATTTAAGTACATGTCTAACATTGGTACATTTCTTACAAATAAAAGGTTTGAAAATAAATGATATTCATAGTAGAACCTATCCATCAGTTACATTCAGTATAGCATTTTTGTCAGTGTTTCCATACTTCAAAAGTGCATGTTATTTTTCAGTGAAGTGTGGAAGTAATGATTAGTGCAAATTCTTTGAGTGACAGCATAAACCCTTCACTGCTGTGATTTGTCATGTAATAGCAGGAGTTCTGTAATTGGATCTGTACTCCTTCAGGACATCTGTATTTTTCTCAATTTAAAATATTTTATGAGAAAGGTGAGTATCTTTTATATAACAAGCAATCGTAACTCCGTGTTCAAATAGATGCACTTTTTTGAATAATGATAAATATCTAACTTCTCAGATTTTATTTTTTCCTAGGAATTATGAAATTATCATTGAAGCATCATGTTCTGTCATTCACACTCATGTTAAATATTTATCACTGAGCAAGTGATGAGTTCTTTTTACAATGCTCAATAATGACATAAAATACCAGTGTGCCTCAGTGAACTGAAAAACCTTTGGCATTGTCAGATTTATAAAATGTTTTTTTAAACGACTCTGACATGAAATAATTGCGTATCTTATACAAATATTTTGCAAAATATAAAGCTATTGTGATTTTCCTAGGAATTTATTTAGAACATTTGTCTTTTTAAAATATACATTGGAAAAGGATATCACCAGAAGAAGTAATGGTTTTGCTCCTTGAGTATGTTTATTTTCTTTTTTTTTTTTTAAATCCATAGGCTTTTTTTTGAAGTTAATGTATAGTTCAGTACATTTTATATCCATGCTAGTATGGTCACTTGGTGCTGGGAGATCTCAAACTTCAATTAGCCATGTAAATGTGTTTCTTAGCATCAGCTCTCACGTTGCTGGAACCCCTGCTGCCTTTATATCATTAACATAAATGCAGGTGCAAATAGCATTTATGTACTTTGATAGAAAGCAGTTGGAGACGTTTCACTGTGGGACACGACACTTTCAGATTGTGTACATCTGTTCAAATAATGTATCCAAGCCAGTGACATGAATGCAAGGATAAAAACATCTGCCCCTGAGACCATTTGCCATACAGCAGATGCTTACATCTTTATTTATGCAGATGGTTTGTGTGATGAGCTGAGCAGTGATGAAAGCGAGAAAGTTTCACAAAGATTCCAGGGTATTCCGTGGGATGGGAAAATATGTTGGTAACAGTGCTTTGTTTTCATATGTCTACCGAAAGAAGAACATCTATTATAAATACTGGTGCTTCTCGTAACGTGGACATACCATTTAGGACATCAGCTAGATTAACACAAAATCACTAAAGGATTTTTGTTTTTTTTTAATCTCCTGCACTGATAGAAGATACTAAATAGTTTAATAGGAGTAATTACTCAACAGCTCAACTGCTTTGCTTCAAGATGTTCTGAAGTTATACAAACCATTGAATTGACTGAAAAGTTTGCAGAGGTAGAATTTGAAATACCACAGAGTTGTTTGGAGGTTGTGTGCAGCGCTGCACAAGTTTTCATGACTTTGGGGATTTTTCAGGACAAGCCATGTTTAGCGTTGCAAAACCATTAAAGAATAGTTCCCCTTGTCTGTTGTTTGAAAATTACTGTAGGGTCGTCGACGTGAGTTGCAGATCCAAAGGGAGCTGGCGCTAGGGGAACAGGAGGTGCCCGGGAGTGGCTTCCCGGCGGCAGCAGGGCTCGCCTGGCGCCGCGCTGGCCGGAGGCTGCGGCCATGGGCGCCCAACTCCCCCTGCTGGACTCGGCACCGAGGGGCTCCTTTGTCTGCCAGCACCCGCCAGACACACGTGAATTTAATTAGAAAGGGACTGATATTTCGGCACACATCAAGCTAAGGATGTAATCTTTGGCCTACATTCCTGTGGATTGCGTTCCTGTTTCCACTGCCTAGTATGTTGGCACCATTGCCAGTGTTTGCTGATACGGTATCACCTCTCAGCAGTATATTCGGTGGTTCCTTTACAGCACATCTAGTACCTTTTTGGAGAACCAGTGCTGCCTTGAAACAGCACAGTGACTAGCAAGCTTAGCAATGCCAATAAGCATTGCAAATAATTGTAATTATGCACAGGGGGAGGAAAACCAGTCAGATAGTGTAATTTAAATTGTTTTCTGCGACATCCTACTGTCAGTAAGGCCTACCTATGTTTGGGTTCAGCAGCAAGTGATAATTTTATATGTTCTGAAAACCAGTGTCTGCCTAGCTATGGGATGTATTACAGAAGATGTTTTAGTTTTCCTATGCTATACAGGACTGTGTCTGTATTTGAAAAAATATATATACCTATTGGAAGTACTGTAGAGATTCTCTAATCTTTATTTTTGTTTTAATCTTTAGTGGAATTAACTACAGGTGGTAATGTTTTGCATATCTCAGCCAGAGCTGAAGAGTCTTTTTCTGAAGAAATCTGGGTCATGAGGAAAGAAAAGGGGGCACAGCTAGAGCAAACAGAAACCTTGGACAGAGATTCCCCATTGAAAACTTACACCACTTAGGTAATTTTCAAAAGAAATGAGCTATTTACAAAATCCCTCAGGAAATACTCACCAACTATCCTTGAAGTTCAACAATTGTTCCGGCCTTTCTTTGGAGAGTGATAAACTTTGCATATAGTTATAACAGAAGACTCTAAAAATAGGCCAAGCCAAGCCAGTCGATCTTCTGATCCTCTGCTCATTTTGAATGAGAGAGCACTTTCTGAGGTTTGTAGTACAGGTTTTTAATGCCTCAGGTAAAATATATTTGCTCTATTTAGCCAAAGTGGCAAATTATTTGTTTTCTCTTGCATACAGTCTTTCTTTAGAAAGAAGTGCTCTGATTTTCCTCCAAAACCAGAAAGTGGTGCTCTATTGAAGGAATAACACTTCTGCTCTTCTGTCGTGCTCTCTAATTGCACATCAGTATTCGCAAAAAAAAATTAAAAAATTTTGAGAGTAAAAAGCATAATTTCCTTACTGCAGTCAGACATAACGTGTTTTCTGTCCTGAGGAGGGTAGAGATATAGATACGTTCTCTTCTTTGAAAGGAGAGCAAAAATCTAATCAGAAAATATTTTATGATTTATTCATAAAATGTTTCTACTTGACCTTTTTGTGCTGCACAGTTTCTGAAGTATTCTGCCATAATTTTTTTATCAGACTTGGTCATTATTGTTTCCTGCACTTAAGAAAAAAATAAGTCTATTAATTACCACTTACATTAGGCATATCGAGATACTGTCCAGGTTGATTTGATCTTGATAGACCCTTTAGAAATTACTTTACATTGACACTGACTTTACAGTGGATGAATTACTGTTTAGGTCCATATCTTTCCTGAAGCTCAGTGAAAGAAATTTCGACTGGCAACTCTCCCAGGAAATAATTTTAAAAATCCAATTACAAGTGTTTATCCCCACCTTCTAAAGTACCTAATTTATATTTGCAATGCCATTGGAGGGTTATGAATTACGAGTTTATGACCAATGCTTCCATCACCTCCTTTCAGCTATTTTCTGAACAATTAGTTCCCCCAAGTGGCTGCATCACTGCAGCCTTGCTTTGCAAGTCTTCGGGGATGGTGTCCTCTGTGGAACAGAATGACTGGGCAAAACCAAAACCAAAAAAGATTAACACCCGATTTGCAGTGATACCAAAATAATTTCCAATCTTCTCCATTGCATTCTGTCAGAGCAGCATGGTTTCTAGATAATGCCCACTTGAAAGCTGACATGTTTGGTTGCTGAAACTAGCAGAGAAGCTATAGAATCTATAGAAGCTGAAACATATTCTTTGATGACAATGTCTCTCGGACAGAGGTTCCATTCTTAGATAGAAATTAAATTTAATAGTGATTTGCGTGGTTGCAGAGGCCAGGACCCATCTTGTGCCCATAGATTTATCTGCATAAACCTCATTCCTAACTTCTCTTATTGCCATAGTGGGAAAAGTCTGTGTGTGATTTCAGCTATAAAGGTGGAAAAAGTTATTAGTAATTACAGATGCTTTATGTCTAGCTCTCTTTGTGTCAGTTTTCTTGATATGAAAATATTTTGATCTCTTAAGACCTATTAATTTTGTTGACCTTAACAAGAAATGAGTAGCTTATGACTTGAAAGGCTGTGCCTTCAAAAAAAATGGAAAGCTTTTAAAGTTCACAAACACTGCATTAGAGGTGTCAAGAGAGCATGTAGATCTGCTAATAAATGTATTTTAAATCCATAGCAAAAGTGTCTAAAAATCTCTTATGTATATATGTTCTGTCTCTTAGGAAGGACTTTGAAGACTTTCTTCCTTTATACAGTAGCACAAAAAAGGCTTTTTTAACAGGAGGTTATGTTAAGCCTTCCATTGCCTACATTTTATATAAGATGTTATTTTTGAATATTGATTTACTTGTGTGGCTAATACATCTGATGTTACAACTCAGAAAGGTTACCTCAAAGATGTTATTCCCCATAGAAATAATATTTCATACATATTTTAAAAGTTACTTGTGTCAGGCTAGTGAAGAGATCAATGAAATCTAAATCTATGAGAAATCAAAAATTACCTCCTTGTGTATTATTGTTGCTAATGCTGATAATATAGTGACTAAATGCATTGATATCTTGATGGGTTAACTTTTGTTTAAGAAGTCTCCTTTTTTCTGGGTGTTGTTTTGTGTTACACTTTTCTCCCAGTGCAGAGATACTGAAACAAAAATGCCAACCAGATTGATTGGCAGATCATAGTAAAAAATGCTTCCTTGTATCTAGTCTGAATCTGCCTTCTTTTAGTTTAAAACCACTGTGCTTTGTCCTATTTCTACAGGCACTTTAAGAAAGTCTGTCACCGTCTTTCTCTTAAACCCCCTTCAAGTACTGAAAAGCCACAATAAGGTCTTCTTGTAGCCTCCTCCAGGCTAAACCACCCCATCTCTCTCTCAACCTTTCCTCATAGAAGAGATGTTCCATCCTTCCAATCATTTTTGTGGCCCTCCTCTGGGCCTGCTCCAACAGGTCCATGTCTTTCATGTGCTGAGGACCCTAGAGCTGGATACAGTACTACAGGTGGGGTCTCAAGAGAGCAGAGTAGAGGGGAAGAATCCCCCCCTCAACCTGCTGCCCACACTGCTTTTGATGTGGCCCAGGACACGATTGACTTTCTGGACTGAGAGTGCTCATTGCCAGCTCATACTCAGTTTTTCATCCACCAGTACCCCCAAGGTTTTGGCAGAGCTGCTCTGAATCACTTTATCCCCCAGCCTTTATTGATACCAGGAATTGTCCTGATCCATGTGCAGGAACTCATGAGATTCCCATGGGCCCGCTTATTGATCTTGTTCCGGTCCCTCAGGCATCCCCCCCTTCAGGCGTGTCAGTTGCACCTCTCAGCTTGGTTTTGCCTGCAAACGTGCTGAGGGTGCACTCAATCCAATCCCATTGTCTCTGTCATTGAGGAAGATATTAAACAGCACTGGTCCCAGTACACACCCCTGAGGGACACCACTTGTCACTGATCTCCATACAGACACTGAGCTGTTCACCACTACCCTCCGGCTGCAACCAGCCAACCTATTCCTTATCTATCCCACAGACCATCTATCAAATCCATATCTCTCCAATTCAGAGAACAGGATGCATAAAGGGCTTTACTGAAGTCTAGATAGATGACAGTATGATAATGAAGCATCTGCTATGTATACTTTCAAACAACAGAGGAAAGCAATTCTGGAAATTGATAAATTGGCGTCATCTTTTTTTTTTTCATAAGTTGTGTTAGATCTGTACAAACTTTGGCATATATCAATATATGATCAATAGTGCATTAGGGATGTTTCTAGCAAAAACAGAAGACTGAATTAGACAGGAAAATTATGAACTTCCTTAAATGATCCTTGTGGGTCCCTTCCAACTTGGCATATTCTGTGATTCTGTGAAATACGAACTATGTACCCATGGTCTTGGATTACTGTATGACTTATCTCTGCAAGGTGACAGTTTATGCCAAAAATAGTTTTCGCTTATTCCCACACTAAAAAATGTCACTAGAAATTTTAATGTTGAACATCTGCTTCAGTCTAGTTCAGTTAATGTCAAAAAACCCCCATTTTTATTGTGTACCTTTGTTATTGTAATGTGTTCTTCTGCTAAGAGTAGTCTTTTGGAGACCATTTAAGGAATCCAGGAAGCATCCTACTCCTCACAGAGTTTCTTGAAATGCACTATAACCCTAATCCCTGAAGATAATAAACTTGTACAGACTGTAGAGAAGACCTTTCTAAATTATAAAATGCTTAGTGCACAACTAGAAAATCGCATTTATGTTCAAATCAGAATTAATTATCTATAACTTCAGAGAGTTCTAATGTTCCTTTCTAGAACTGATCTCGTTCCTCCTGTAGTATACAAGAATAAATTTTCTAAGTGTATTTGCACATTCTGTATCTTAGTGTTTGTGTGAACGATGTACTGTAATTTTTCCAGTCTCACATTAGAATACTTTGTTATGTTTATTTTTCTAAACTACTTTAAATTGTACAAAAGCACTCTTATGTAAACATAATTATATTACTCTTTGAAAAATCAAGTAATAAAAAGGTAAAAAATGTGAGATTCTCCCTTTGGCTTGAATGCTTCTCTCCAAATCACATGTAATGGTAATGTTGGTTACCTATCTTAAGCGTGTGTGTAATTCCCATATCCCACCCCAACTGTTTGGCCTAGGCACTTTTCAGGTGTCATTTCTAGTCCTCTTGTCCTTTTTCTGCCTGTCCTGTATATATCCATGTTTCTCTTCCACACTATTATCTCTGCAGTTCAGAGATAAGGAGCTGCCATTTTCTTGTTCCAGATTGGGTGTTTGGACCCCAAGCTATAGCCCAGGGAAAATCCAGCCCAGCCTGAAGCGGGGCACAGTCAATAGAATGTAATCATTGGAAAAATTAGCTGCTTAAAATGTCTATTGAACACATGCCCAGAGCTTACAACTTTGCCAAATGTTGGCAGCTTTTCACAGACCAAAGAGACATTGCTGTGTCACATATCAAGGTCTTTACCTAATGCACAGAAGTGTTACTAGATTCTTTTTTTTTTTTTTTTTTAAATACATACATACCTGAGAATGGCTGGCATTCCCTGCTGAAATTAATTTTACAAAAATTATCTGAAGCAAATACCCAGAACAAAGCATTCCACCCAAGTAGTTATTATTAGAAAAGGTAGAACTGCAAATTAATTGCTATAATGTATGGAGTTGGACATTCATGGTTTATAGGCTTTATTGCCAGTCTTATTTTGTATAGGTGTGTGGCAAAGCTAGTGTTGAACCTAGAAGGCCAAATTCTGTTTTCTAGAATATCTGTAGTTCCATTGATTTATGTGGAATTATGGCAAGTGTAAATCAGCATAGAATTTAACCCCTGTATTTAAAAGCCTCACTAAAGCTACTGAACCATCACTTTTCTGAGCTTTTTATTTTGCTGCTGTTGACTGTCTGCCATGACACTGAAACTAAACCATCCCATCTGTTTGCCACATTAACCAGCTTTACTCAATTATTAAGCTATCACCTTGTATTTGGCATGTAATATATTGGATTTTAGAACTTATTTGAGGAGAGAAAAATGGCAAAGAGAAAGAAGCAGTAGCTTTCCTAATGAATTAACTGAAAGTTAATGTTTCATATTGTCATTTTATATCGTCTTTTTCTGGAGTTTGTTGGTTTTGGGGGTTGTTTGGTTGTTTGGTTGTTTTTTTTTTCCCTGGAATCTATTTATAACTGACTGAAGCACTTTTGCAGGTGGTGGTTTTTTGCATGCTAATCCTGCAGAGAAACATTGTGTCCAACAAAGTATGCTGGGTCAGCAAAAGCAAGAAACTTGTGCTGGAAAGACAGTATCCACAGGTATTTAGTGTGTATGGAGATTTGGCAAAACGAATGATTAACTGTCATTGGCAAAAAAAGATCTAGTGTTGTCTGTTAAAAAGTTGTGAATTTTTTTTCTTTCCCGTAGAACAGATTCTTCCTTTCAAAGTCAGCAAAAGACTCAATGTAAATGTGCATTTAATAAAATATTTCATTAATCATCTTCATCTATATTCTGTCTTCCTTTAAGATTTTTTTTGTGTGCTTTTTTTTCCTCTCATCTGTCCATTCATACACAAATTAAACACATACGTGCACTACTGAGGTGGACCTACAAGGATTATTAAAAAAATTAACACTGTTACACAATGGCTTGTGGCATTTTGGTGGTTATGTTTAAAATAGATCAGATAGTGGCGAAAATTAAATTTCTTCTGATGCTTTCTAGAGTGTCTGAGTTCAGCAATGTTACTTGCTTTACAGAGAAAACAAACTGAAGGAAGGACGGAAGTAAGGCAGATCAGACTGGAGTAGAGTAGACTTGGATGAGTTAGGAAGGAAGGGGAACCATCGAGGAAGAGTAGCCTCATGGAAGACTCCCATTCCTCTGGCAGACTCTTCCCAGCATGGCTATATCAGAAAATTTGATGCATCATTGATTTTTCTATTGATGTGTCACTGTCCACTCCTATACAATTTTAAGGTTATTTAGAAGGGATGAAAGCTTATGAGATGCTGCAAGTTTCTGAGTGATTTGAAACTTGCGGGTCCTATCATAGTAACCATTAATCTTTTAACGGAGATTTTTAAAGTAAATGGGTTGAATTGCATTTGATTTAGCCTTGTGCTTAATTATTTAAAAGTGTGTACCTGTTGCCCCAAGTCCACACCCATCTGAAAGGCTGAGTTAAAAATAAGCTTCATGTGCTTCAGATATTAACTCTAATCTTTTCATTTTAGAGAAGGTATAAAAATAATTTCTTTTCAGTGAAGGACCTGTAGACTGACTTGAAGAAAGAATGTTGTCCAAAACCAAGGGCCATCTTCACAAATGCCGTTGTAGAACCTCCCTTAACTGAAACTTCCCCTTCTTGGGTGCAAGACTTTGTGGGATTGCATAGGCACGAAGGCCTTTCCTCAGGTCACAACTGTCAAGTCAGAGTCCTTTGAATCAGAGTCAGAAAAACTTTGGGAGATGTGGAATGTCCCTGAAAAATGCACATGAAGTTTCCAAACAGCCTTTCCACTAGCCAGACAGCCAGAACATATCCAAGTCCTTCAGTGTGGTGAAGACATGAGTTACTGTAGGGCTGTCTTTGTGCAAAGGAAATTGTTGAATCTTTTCACCAGTTCTAAATGGAAAACATAATTTTGGTCATTAATGATACTTGCTCGCCTTGGGTGGGATCAGCAGAACCTGTGAATTAACTGGCTGTGAGTCTGTGAATTAACTGACTGCTTTTTTGTGATCCAAGATACTAAATAGTCTTCCACCAGTTCTTCCAGTTAGCTTTCCTAGCCTGCTAGCACAACCTTACCCAAGTCTGAAGCATATCAGACATCCAGACATCTAGCCCTTCCTTATATTTAGGCACTGGCTAAGCAGCTTAACTGCAGTAGCTGTGTTGGACGAGAGGGAAATTAACTCAAAGTGTTGAGTATCCTTTGCTTACTAGAAGCACTGCAATGAATATTCTGCACTAAACTGTCTAATGTAAACTTGGGAAAAAAACCAAAAAAAAAGTCATATTGAAAAGTTATATTGAAACAACTTGCCTGGAAGATGTATTTGTGATAAAATTACACTAGTTGAAAAAAGGGTGTATAAAACCCCTTCTCAAACAGTTATGTCAATGCTTAGTATTGTGTTAACTGCATAAAAAGGATATTGATCTAAACAGACCTTGTTTCAAAGAGCGTTTTTTATATTCATGAAGATCTTGGCTTCTAGAGCAGTAGTTTCTTGTGGAATACTGAGAAAATATCTCGAGATACTCTCTTTATAGAGAAGTGATTTTACTGCTTAGTTTTACAGTAGGCAAATCAAGGCATTTGAGAATCATGTGGTTCTTTTTAAAGCTAGTGCCATGCATTATTTCTACGAATATTTCCTCCTAACCTCAAATTAACCTTTATTTTGTGGTTCTTTGACTGCCCTTTCGGCACCTTTGTAGAAGTGGCATGTCCGCAGCAAAACATCTGCCTTTTCCTGTTACCAGGTTGGGGAGCAGATGCCCTGTAACTTTGAGTAGCGCAGGTGTGCTAGCTTTCCTAAAACTTTTATGTAAATCAGTGAATGAAATTCTGAAATACAAAGAGAGAGGAAAAAGCCAAATGGGAGAGAGAATGGAAACAGCTTCATTTTGAATACAGTGGCAAGCTGAATAGCTGCTGGTTTGGAGAAAGTCTTTATTATCAGTGCGTGGCAAGCATAATCTGGAAAAATAAGAGCTGACTCTGTCCCTAAAAAGAATGGATATTTGTTCTGTCATCTGCTGTATTTAAGCTATACTATTTGACTTGTAACTAGCATTGAAGTTCAGGGCTACTTTGGTTAGTGATTGCAATACTTTACATTATTTTATTGTTCTTCTCAGAGGTTCTTAAAAGTGTTTACTCCAAAGCAGCAACTAGAAGATACGCTGCAGGAATCAAACAATCACCTGAATAGCAATAGCAGTCTTAGCCAGCTGAAAACGTAAAGGTTTCTATATACTTAGTGATTGTAGATTGTTAAAAAAAAAAAAAAAGAGAATAAAAAAAGAGCTGTGAGGAAACAAACTCTGTAGGCTTGGACTTATCCCTGTGTACAGGGATCTCTATATCTGTGTAGGATTTCTGTATGTACAGTAACCCAGTCTGCACAGGATGTCTAGACATTTAGAATATCTCTACAGACATTGAGCAGAAAGTTTTGGTGGTGCCCAGTAGTTTCACTTAATTGGAGGATAAGGAAGGTACATAATGGACTTGGGGTTGGATGCTGTAGATGGCAATAAAAGGATCAAAGGATTATGCCCTGCATAGTTATTGCTCTATGAATCTGCTGTGGATCAAAGAGTTTTGATAAGCATCAGACCTACTGTGTATGAACTGTACAGTTTATATTTGATTGTTCAGTGAATCCTACATGTCCTGAGGGCAGTGGATTTACTGCACATGTGCATACCATGAGTGTGCATGTCTATCTGTCCAGGAGTTCTGGTCATGAAATAGGATAGGTCTGTAACTTACAGTGCATGTTGCAAAGTGTGTGACCTCTGAGAAGAGCATCCAGGATTAAGATGATAAACTTACTGGAGTTTCTAGTGCTTTTTAGTAATTCACAGTTACCTTTTAAGTCCAGAACCATATATAAATGCATTTGTAATATAAGTCTTTAAAATGGCAAGGAATAGAAACTTTCCTATGGAATTACCTTACTGCAATATTGCAAGGTATTGCAGTATTGCAAGGAATTGCTTTACTGTTATATTGCATTTACTTTTATGTATTTTATTCTAATGTGATTCCTTCCCCAGAGTGATTTTTGCCTTCCCAAGGTGCCTTACTGCTTGGGATCTTTGTAGCTGAATTTTCAACAGTTGTGATTGTTGGGATCTTTCAAGAAAATGTTTGAATAACTTACTGCAGTAGTTTTATTGAGCATTAATGGCAAATAAGCAATATGTGTGATTGGGTATTTAACAATAATACATCTTCTTTCAACTCCTCTTTGATTTTATTATACACTATTTGACTGGTTTTTAGCAGTTATTTTTTAAGACTTCATCAGGCAAACTTTGGTCTTTATCTGATAAAACCCACAAATTCTAAATGTTACAGAAATTTTGAAAGATAGAATGATTCTGTTTGAGAGATATGATCAGAGTAGGTGCTCAGAAAAGGTCTGTGTCCTGGCCCTGTTCTTCCAGCTGAATATTGCCAGCGTGCTAGTCCAGCTTTTCCAGGGCTGAAGAGGCTTATGGGTGTATTTGTTCTGAAATGCCACATAGTTTGTAACCTAGAAGGAAACATCCATTTAAGAGAGGTTTTTTTTTGCATATCTGTGTTCAAGCACATTGCTTCAGGCAATGCTTTTGTTTTGTCCATGGAAGTTTTTCAATTCTAAATTTATTTGGTGTTCATTTAAATGCCAAAATATTTTTAATATGTTTGTGTGTTATAGTATCCTTTGTAAGCAGTTTCGTTTTGAGACAGTAATTTTTTAAAAAGAAATACTATATTTCATATTACGACTTTGTTATGTTTGTCTTACAGATAAACACAACCCCCCTTCGGACATTATACAAAGTTTTCAGAAGAAAAGTCAGTTTAGGACCATTGCTCCAAAAATGGTACCAAAAATTTTAACATCTGGAGCGGTTCCTTGTCTTCAGTCATCTTTGCCTGAGCCAAACACACCGATTTCAGCTGCAGGTTCTAAACCACTGGTGGTGCCAGCTCAGAACTACGCTGTCATGCAGGTGGCTGGTCAGGAGGGGACGTTTTCCCTGCTGGCTGTGCCATATGTTGCCCCTGCCCTAACACAGCAAGCCCAGCAGTCAAATGTGGCCCCCTCTGACAACCTAAAGCTGCCTATCCCTAGGTACCGGTATGTAAGGAATAAATTGCTGGGTGACAAAGAAATGGCAAAAATCTCTGGTTTGGGTGCATGTAAGAAGATTCCTACCAAAGCGCTGGTCTCATCACAGACTTCCCCTGTGTCTACTGTAACTGAAGACTGTCCTGAAGCTCATTCTAGTTCAGATTCAACTGAGCAAGTGACTCTAACAGACTGTGACTCATCTGAAATTGCAGTTGGCACAGTAGTAAATAAAAGCAACTGTGTGGAATCTGGACTTCCTTTAATGAACAAAGCTGAAATTGTTAACAGTAAGATTTCTGTACCATCTCTAGTTAAAGACGCTTTATCCAAGCCAGCAAGTACAATTAATCCCCCGAAACTAAGTCTACGCTCTGTGAAGACAGCATCAGAAACCACAAGAAAGTCAGTCATGACATCTGAGAAACTAAAGGAAAAACCCACAAATTCTGCAAATCCTTTTGCTGTCTTGTCACCAGCAATTCTTGGCAGTACAATACAGATGACTCCATCATCACCAAAAGGAAAACTTCCTATTTTGCCTTACTCAAGGACGAAAAATTCAGTGTTCAGTAAATCTAAGCAGAATATTAATGTTGTGGATGTATCTGGTCCTTCACTAAGATCTGAATGTGAGAAGACACCAGCATTGACAAAAAACAAAGCATTTGATAAGGAATTAGCTGTATCATCTACACAAGTCCCCAAACAAACCATTCCAGAAAATGTCTTCTCTCCATCCAGTGAAGTGGATGTCGACAGTCTTAAAAAATTGAACAGTGCAGCCTCTAAAAAAAGAGGCAGGAAAAGAAGAGCCCCGGATGATTTACTGGCTTTTCAGACCAAGCGAAGGAAGTACATCATTAACAAGTTTAGAGAAGGAAGAGAGAGAGCGAAGGTTGATATTCTGACACCTGAAGACAAAAAAGCAGAAGCAGTGAAGAAATACCGTAGTATCAGACCAAAGCCAGTGGTAGTTGTGCAGGCCTTCACTCCACTGACTTCTGCAGCAGTAGTAGAGACACCACCTCGTGTCCATTCAGAGCATGCAATTCCTTTAAATGGTTCACTCGCCACCAGTTACAAGCAAAGTGACTCTACATCAGCTAAATCAAGCGATTCGAGTAGAAATGCATGTTCAGCCACACCTAAGACACTGCACAGATGCCCTGTTTGTAACCATACCTTCCAGTTCAAGCACCATCTCCAGGACCACATGAACTCCCACACCAAGAAACGGCCCTACATCTGTTGGATTTGCCGGAAGGCATACATCCATTCTGGGAGGCTCAGCACGCATATGAAGCTTCACCACAATGAAGGCAAACCCAAAAAGCTGGTGTGCTGTGAATTCTGTGCCAAAGTTTTTGGCCATGCAAAAGTGTATTTTGGCCACCTCAGAGAAGTCCACAGGGTTGTTATCAGCACAGAGCCCTCTCCTAGCGAGCAACAGATGCAAGACGCTTTAAAGAAGAGAGACACGAATATAAAAGAGACAGAAGAAACTACAGAGAGGTGAGCATTTTCACTAATTAAATGCTAGTGGAAATGGGATTTCAAGTTGTCAGTGGAAATTCATAAACATCACCATTAGGAAGATTATTGCTTCCCCTCCTGCCAAGTGAGATTCCTAATGGTTTAAATATTGTTCTTGATTCTAGTCAATCCATTAGACCATCCATTATATTTTAGCTGATTTATTGACTATAAATCATTACTGACACTTGAGTGTCCAAAGTAATTTTGCATATATTCTAGTAACATCCAATATATTGCCATTGGAGCTATTTGGATCAGTTAGTTAATACTCTGTTAATCTGCACTGTCTTTTGTCCTACCTGTTTTGGGGGTTTCTCTAAAAGATAAGTGAACCAACTGCAATAAGCAAGAAGTAAGTCATATTTCATTATTAGCTTACAGTTTGTTTTCCCTGTTAAATATCATTATCCCATTTCCTTCTATGGAGTGTTGTGAGCTAATCCATCTTGTGTGGTGATTACTACTGCTTTTGCCATCACTCAGCCACGCAGAAAAGTTAACATTTACCATATTAGGATGAATAAAACCTTCTTTTACCTCTGCATTGTGATTTTGGGGTGAAATCTCTTGATGCAATATAAATGTTGGCTTTTTTGTTTGTTTCACTGAAGAACATTCAGGTCTTTAATGTGACTCCTCACTGCAACACTACCGTGCAATTTTACTCATTTTACTTTGCGTAGCTTCACTCTCTGGGGCATCAGTTAGAAATTTTTAAGGTCTTGAGCCTAAGAAATACCAGCACTTTTCTGTCAGTCTTACTAGTCGTCACAAAGTGAATCATTCAGTTTATCCGTTTTGCTGGGTAATCTGTCTAATATGTGTAAATACAGTATTATCCTTTTCCTAGATGTTCTGAGAAGATTTCTGAGGAGATACTGTTTTGATTGGCTTCGGTTACCAGGGACTGTGTATTCTTTATACTGCAGAACTGTCCTAAATCAGGGAGAGGGGCTGTCTAATTGTGAATTAGGTATTCAGACTTTTCTAAACCATGTTACAGACTTTTAGGGGAAAAAAACCCAAGAAACTTTGAAGTTTCATTGTTTCCATCTTGGAAAGGGAGGTGGGACATGTGGTGTGACCTTAAATTGACCTTAGATCACTCACTGTAAACAAAGAAGTTTCTCTTAGTAGTACACTACAGATAATAGTCTTTTTTTGCTTTTTTAGCAGAGCACTAGAAGTATTTGAATCGATCTCACTGAATCAGGAACCTTAAAAAATATTATCAACCTTTTATTAAAAGGCTAGTGTTGTCAAAAGGTTATTCCTACCAAGGCAATTCATAAATTCAGAAGTGTCAAATAACATTTGGTTTCAGTTGCTTCCTAAACAACCTTACAATTATTTTCTTTCTTTTTTTTTTTTTTCCCTCTTCCAAATGAATTAGGTACTGTAAAGACAATTCTTATTTTTAATTAAAAGTGTTTCATGACTGTCATCTATTCTTGGAACTTATGACAGAAATTGCCATCCCTCTTCTGTGCCTGGCTAATACTGAAATAGTTTGTATTTCCTTTTTTCTTTTTTTAACAGGGGAAATAAGTGCAATCTTGAGGACCTATTCCATAACCCAGGAGGAGTGAAAATGCAGGTCAAATGTGGTCGATGCCAGTTTATTGCACAGTCTTTTGCTGAAATGAAGTTCCATTTACTGTGCTGTCATGGAGAAGAGATTCAAGGAAGAGTTACGGAAGGGGGTTTGCAAGGAAATAGAGGAGCGAAAGGGGAACCGATCAAACATACAACCCACTTCTGGAAACAGCACAATGAGAGAAGACATTTAGCAAAATGCAGTGCCTGTGAGGAGGAGCTTTATACTTTCCCAAAACTGAAAAGACAGATATACTTTCAACATCAAAATAATGCCACTATTTTATCTAAAGGCGAAGGGACTCAGGCAAGAAGTGGTGAAACCAGCAAGGAGATGCAAAACATGGGGTTTGGCACAGCAAGCAAAAAAATGGAATTTTGGTCTAAAGTAGGCTATAACTGCATTTTATGCAAACAGTTATTTGGAAAAAAAGAGGATCTTTTCAGTCACTGGCAGAGTCATCATAACTGCGAAGATCCTTCCACTTTATGGACAATTTTTAGTTTAGTATCAAAACAAGGGATTACTGAATTTTCTAAAAATGGGGAATATTGAAGCTCAGTTCTACAATGCTATGAAAAACATTAACTACCTTACCAAATTTTTTAGGTGTTTTCACTGTCTTCCTAAACTAATTCAATAGAAGTATCACTTCAAAGTTTTATTGGGTGGGTTTGTTGTTTTGTTGTGGTTTTTTTTTTTTTAAGTTATACTAATCTTTATTTTGGTGAATAGAAAGTTTATTTATTCAGTGTCATTCCAGATGGGTACTTGGAAGTCGATTAAAAAACTGTACTTAAAATTTGTGTTTAAGGAACTTTATAGCAGCAAATACCCAATACTAATGGTTAACATCAAAGAAAAAGATTTTTGAGTTAAATTATACTGTGCACACAGAAATAAATCAATTTATATGAAGCAATCTCAATCTTAAATGAAATGACAAAGCCTAGTGGAAGTGTTATTTCAGTCCCAATCGTACTTCCAAATTCTGTGGTAAATACATGTTTCCACGCAGTTCTGTTGATCACTTGTGCATACCTGCAGCCGGCATTCAGGAGCTTTATAATCTGTAATTTCAGAACGTTTCATTCTGGTTTCCTTGATTTTAGTGTCTTCAACCATATTTATTGCTTGCAGGCCTTTTTGGTGTTAAATTCTGTCCTGGCAATAGCAAAGATTTTGTATTTTATAAATAAAAACTCTACATATATTTATTTGCCTGTGGCTTTTTGGGTTGAAGATGAATTATTTGCCGGCCACAAAGATGAAGCCCTCCAGGCTTGACTGCTTTATGAAAAAGAACAAGTTTGTTTTAAAAATAGTGATCTGAGTTGGTTACATGTGGGAAGTCTGACATTGTGCAGTAGACTGCACATCTCACAGTGCACTTTTAGTGTATTCCTTGTACCTCCAGTCACAGCAGCACCACTGCCAACACTGTTAGCACTCTGCCTTCAACACTCTTGGTGTATCACTTTTGTACCGCTACAGCTGAGACAGTCTCTGGCTCTAAAGAGGAATTGTTCCTGCACTTGTAAATCTGTGGTATAGGGAATGAGTTGTTTTCACTTGTGTTGCCAGATTTGCTGTACTAGAGGAACTGGGTGCAACACCTTAACCTTCCAATATTAGGAGCTGGTAACCATTCCCATAGCAGGGAGCAGCCTGTGGTGCAGGAGCAGTGCATCCTGTGATCAGCAGGGCAGGCAAGGGTGGGGAACTTTGCAGCACATCTCCAAGGGGGCAAGTCTGGTCAGGCTGTAAGGGATGGAGTTCTGGAGCTCAGCTTTGACAAAAAGGTCATTGAAACCATTGAATCTAGTTTAAAATTGATGTTTGAACTGCTGTTACTCAAAGCCTTACGTACCACTGAATTATTTTGGGAGTAATAAAGGAGGCAGTCTAAGAAATCACTTACATCGCTGTTCAATGGAAGTCAGAGCACATCAGAGGGCAAGCTGAAAAATACACCAGTACTGTCCCTACAGTGCTCCTCTATTCATTTCTGTGGTCAACTGTAATTGAGGGTTTGCAACTATGAAAGAGCCATTCTTAAAATGTCCTGGGTCCCCTCTCACTGTTTTGCAAAAATTATGGTGATGAGAACATGAGAAGAGATCTAAAAATGTTGGGTTTTCTGAGTGGGATTCCAGAAGCTGTTGCAATACTTTGTGTGTGTGTTTTGGTTTTAAACAGTAAAGGCAATTTTGATGAGCTAATAGTTTTGAATACAATTTCTTGTTGTGTGGTGCTTTGCCCTGGAGATGAATTGTAGGGCAGGAGCCAAGTATAGTAAAAGACAAAAAGAAAATGCTCACAGAACTATACAGGTGCTTGGTAAGGTAGAAGAATCCCTGTGGATTCTCAAAACTTCCTTCCTACTGTCTTTTGTTTTATTACATATTTGTACTGTTTCTTTGCTTTTGTAGATTTGGGGTTTTTGTGCTGAATTACTATAAAATACTACTTATTCTTGACACACACATCTTTAATGGCTACAATATATTCATATTTATTTTCATGAGCACATTTGGAAAGGAATACTTAATTTTAAAGTCAGTGTTTGATATCAAACTGAAGCCGTATTTAACATAGTAGAGTGTGTTGCATTTAGAAGCATTTTTTACCTCCCCCAACTTTAAAATCAAATTGAAGTTAAATCCTTTAACTTTAAAAATCCAATAGCATGGTGTTTTCCCTGAAACAGAAATGTGAGAACAATGCCTCCTTCCCATAGTTATAATATATCAAAGGGAAGTTCATTCCCTCAACATGCATTTTAAGAGTTAGGAAAAAAAAAAAACATTTAAAAAATTTGATCATGTTCTTTATTTAGAATTAACATCAAATCACCCTTCTTGCAAAATCACATGTCCCATGGTATAGTTTAAAATGAGCTGATGTGAATGCGGGACTGAGTCCCTCCTGTTCAGGAACAGCACCAGCGATGGCAGAGTTGTCCTTTAAAAATATTTTCAAAAAGTATTTGTTAAAAACAGTGGTGCATCAGAGCCAGTGATGTAGATGAGTTGTTTGGTCGTGGCCATCAGTGCCTTTCAGTGAGGAGGAGGTGCAGTGGTGAGGGGAGGAAGGGCTTTGGGATGAGAGAGTCAGTTGCATTTTTTTTAATAGAAATTTTCGTGTACAGTTCTTTTCATCATGGTTTTGTGCTTCCTTCCCTTTCTGTAGTCCAGGCAAAGTGGTAAAGGTCTCAGCTTTCAGCAGTTTAAAGCCTGAAAACATATTTTAAAGCATGGTTCTAAGCCACTTCTCAGTGTCCTCATAAATGTTTAAAATTAGAAGCCTTTTTTCTGAGCCTGAAAGCATTCTTATGTTTCAGGCTATTACGATTATGGTAGATTATGAAAGGTTGGGATTTTTGAAAATAGCTTTGCATTAAATACAGATGTGTCCTTTGTTTAAGACGTGTTTGTTTTGCATTTTTGTTCATTTTGATAACATTTGGAGTTAGGAAGTGAGCCTTTATAGGGAGCAACATTAAGTAGTGCGTGTTTGCTGCTCAGCAGAAGGGTTGTTATGAATGCAGTTTGCTGTTTACCTTGAAGCTGGACAAGTTAACATCTGGTTTTGCACATAAATTATGTTTTTAAATTGTTAAACCGAATGTTATTGTTTTTGTAGCTGTAGTTTTGTTCGCTCTGATTTTTCATTAAATCTCTGTTTCAGCTTCACTGTTCAACTTTAAAGCTGTTCCTCACATGGAAAGTTGTTCCTTCATCATCACACCATAAATAATCAAAGCTGGAGGAGTTCCATCGCTTTTCTGGCTTGCAGAGTATTGCCCTTCTCCAGCTGCAGAGCTACAATTTCCTATGGCTAACTTGACATAGTTGCTGGCAGTAAATGTTTTACTTCATTTATTTATTTATTAGAATTCAAATCTCTGCTGTTTAGCTCGATCAGAGTTTCTGTCATACCTCATTAGATACTTATTTTATCTACTATTCATGGAGCCCTTTAAAGAAAGTATCATAAGAAGGATGAACAGGTATTTAAGGGAGCAGACTTCTACCCTCACTTTATGCAGATGATACTGATGTTTGAGAATCACCAGCTTATCTGGGCTCAGCTGCGTAGTATATTATATTTCTACAACACATCCACCTACATAAGCATCTATTTTGGAACGAAATGTATACTTCAAATTCAGCTGTCAGTTATTATTACCAAACCTGTACAATGTAGGTTATTATGCATAAAGATTAAAATGCTATTAACTGTAGTAGGTTTACTTGTCAAATTTCTTATAGCTCAGAAAAATGAAAATCTCTGTGTGCTGAGGATGACACAGAAAAAATCTGGTTTTGTGAAGAAAATTCGAATGGCTTAAAGGTTGTCCTCATTTCAGTGTGTGCTTTTCAGCTGATCTGTCACATTGCAGGATTTCTCCACATTTATTAAATTGCCATAAATTTCCTTGGTTAGGAATAAAAAGGAAGATCTGAGTCTGCAAGCAGGTTTCCAGAAAAAATGTGCTTACTTCTTTTTTCTGTACAAGCAGACACGTCCATGAACTTGAAATAGTCTTGGTGGCCTTGGATGCACATGCACAACATGGGGAAACATGCAAGGTTTGGGCTTTGGAGTGTGACTTCATGAGGCTGACCATTCTGCAGCTGCAAAGTAGAAACTAGAAACTTGAGTGTAAAAATAACTTAGTTTTCAGAGTTGAGTTAATTCCTAATACCTTACTGACAAACCTTCAAGAAATCCTGAAAAATTAGAAGAGCATACTTCTCTACTTGTGCTGTGTTTGGCAATTTTGTTGACATATTAGTACCAGAGGTGTTCTGAAATATGATATGGCTGGTGCTGTGGAGTACAAAGAAAAAGCTTTCTCTTTTTGTTTGTTTGTTCGTCTGTTTTTGGTTGGTTGGCTGGTTTGTTTTGTTTCTTTTTCTTCTTCATTTTATTGGCCTTTCTATGTAAGCATTGGAAATCCTGGGATAAGTTACGATGAATTGTGATTTCTGCTGCTGACAAATCTGGAAACATTATTCTGAGTTTACTTTGCAGAAAATTCCCATTTTAGTCTAGAATAACAGGTGAAATCAGCGAGAAGCAAATTCTATTTGAAAGATATATGAGCAAACTGTTCCATATCTGGATTTCTCTGCATAGTTACACTACTGTAGATGAAGTTTATAGATGATAGGTCTTCTACTGATATGTGCAAACACTTTATTCTTATCCAGAGGTACTTAAAGAGGCCAAGGGAAGAATTAAAAAACTATCCCTATCTTCTATTTAGCTTGAATTTTGTTAAATATTTCTGTTGTTTTACCATGACAGATTGTGTTCGAAGGCCTGTATATTCTCAAACACTTTCTAAGGGACTTACAGCATAATTCAGTGGAGGAAAGGGAAGAAATATGTGAGGGAAAGTAGTAATGATGGAGTTTTTATTGAATACAGGTTCAAGCTTCAGTATGACTGCCCTTTGATGGAAGAGTCCTGGAGCCTTAAACTTCTCCCTTCCACCCCCTGTGGTTACATTGTTCCAGATTATGCTCTCATTTAAGGTATATCAGTTTGGACCACCCTCAGCTTCTTTGGACCCAAGCTTTCCCAAGTGGCATAGCTGACTTTGCAGATCTCCTCCTCTTTTGGTATCTTGGTTACACACTTGTAGTTAGGTGAGCCTCATGCTGGCTGCTGAGAGCAGCTGCTGCCAGACTTGAAATGTGGTCATTCCGTTTTCTGAGGAAAGCATCTTTTAGGTTTAGTACGTAAAAATTAAAAGCTGTTCTTAACAAAATAAGAAAATGGCTTACTCAATTTCCCGCAGATGCAAAACTGATAAGTAGTAGGACAAAGAAGTTTTGTGTTGGTATAAGAAAAAGCAGCTGCTAAAGATGATTTGGCGTGGTTAGGTACCATTGTAAAAGACTAGAATGTTCCATTACCTAGTTAGAATCAAATAATAGAATCAGAGAAGTTCCATAAAAGTGTCTCCCCTCCCCTCTTTTCATTTTTTCCCCTCTTTTCCTTTTTTCCCCTTTTCCTTTTTGTCTTCCTAGCCATTTATAAATTATCATGTTCTTCATTAGCTCGACTCTTGGGCACATGATGCTTCAGGCCATCAGGGCCGAGATGCCATCTATAGATGGGCACGAGACCGAGGGGTGGATTTAACCATGGACACTATTTCCCAGGTTATCCATGACTGTGAAACCTGTGCCGCTATTAAGCAGGCAAAAAGATTGAAACCCCTGTGGTATGGTGGACGCTGGGACAAGTATAAATATGGGGAAGCATGGCAGGTTGACTACATCACGTTGCCACAGACCCGCCAAGGTAAACGCTATGTGCTTACCATGGTGGAAGCAACCACCGGATGGCTAGAGACTTATTCAGTGCCCCATGCAACGGCCCGGAATACCATTCTAGGTCTTGAAAAGCAATACCCGGTGTGACGACATCACACAGTAGTTCAGACAAGCACAGCAGCTCTCACAAGCTTTCTGGTATCGCAGAACAGGAAATATCATCTCCTGACATTCCTGGCTCCTTGTCCCACCCCCTGCTCCAGCCAGCTGCCCTGTTCCTGTTGCTGTTCCGCCTGAACCAGTGGGATCCAGCACAAGGGCTCTGCAGTCCCTCTGTGAGTCCCATGGGCTGCTGCTGCTCTCCCAGGTGATGGGAATAGAACAGACAGCAGAGTGGGGAGAGGCTGCAGTAGCACCTGAGTCACAGCTGGGGTGAGGCTGAGGTTGGAGGTCAAAAAAAATCTCCCCAAACCCAAATAAAGTTACAGTTTCAGCTGGCAATCCTTCAGTAGTGAGAATATCTCTTAGCACAACCCCCAGTTTTGTTGCTGCAGACCATGGCCAAGCCTCTTCACCCACACAAAGCAGCTCACGCTCCTTTAGCTACTCTTGTTTTTTCTGTGACTTCAGGCTCCCTCCCTTTCACATGCAGTGAATAGACTCCTTTTTTTCTACAGCTGATTCGGGGCAAACTAAAGCATTTTATTTCCTGAATGCTGAGTAATTTTGTG